TTTTTTCTATATGCTTTGATTGTAAGATAATACTCGATTATTACGTACCACCGTGATAATTGCGAATTGTTAACTTAACGCAGGAAAATCTTCGAAATGAGAAATTTGAAAGTTATCGTTGACACGTTAATGACGCTTTATTGTTGTTTTTAGATCACTTGACAGTACAAGCTCGATGTTTTTTATGCGCGAATCATTTTCACAAGTTGACACACCGGATGGTCTTCTTGTCGATTTAGCTGCGGCACGAGTTCGTCAGTATTTCTTATACGCGCCGTCTACAATGTTCGCAAGAAAATATACGAAGCAAATCGAAAGATTAACGCGATAATTCATTACGATTAACTCTCCATCTGGATCCGAGAAGAAGGCAATGCCAAGTGAAACGAGGCAAATCAGTACAAAACGAAGTAAATAAATGGATTGGAAGGCGAATCACAAATGTTAAAAATTAGAATTCTCACTTATATTTCGATTTAACTTTCGGAAACTGCTGCTTTTAGGAAATTACCCAGTAATTACTCTCTTCCTATATCATTAAATTAAACTTTCTTTGATATAAGATCGATCATTCTTAAATGCCAATTTCTCGCTCGCCATCGGTATACAATAAAAAGTGCAACACCAAATTCAAACGTTTGAAATTAGACACCGAATTCATTCGAATAAAGGCTACATTTTTTTATTAAAGCCATGTGTGTTGCACGTGCATCATTACAAAAAATATTAATCATAACAATTAAAAAATATTAGCCAAAATGCTATTATTCAATATGAATTTCGTAGTAAGAAGAAATTACCGAAAAATAGTTTTAAAATATCGTGCAGAGATTCGCATATATATTTGCAGATGTTTCGTTCCAAGCAAATGACATGTGAAAATTGGTGTAACGCGGTTGCAGTAATTTTCTTTTGAAATATCAAGTTCATTGCTACTGTACGATTATCCAGGTATTAATCTTCATCTACGAGTATCTTATGACGTTATTATTGTGCCGGCTATGAGTATAATCAACAGCCGCAAAAAAGAAAGAAGTTGCTCCAAGTTTTTATGCTCCACGACAACAGTATCAAGACAGGATTTATTATACATCTGATAATTGACCACTCAGATATTAGCTCAATCTAAAATAGACACATAAAATACCACACAATTAATGATAAATTATTCAAATTACAAATTATAATTAAATTTAAAAAAAATTAGTTGCTAAACGTAAAATTATATCGTCAAACAAAACTAATTTTTCATGCAAATGTGAATTAGTATTGAATTCATAAATAATATCGTATTTGTATTCTTTCTTATGCATATTAGGCAATGTCTATTTTCTTTCCTTTTCTTCTTATCTTTTTTTCAGTGATTAGAAGATAAATACCAGCGTGTAAACGTCATTTTCGTACTTTGTTACGAACATAAAACATGAGATGAATAATAATACTATTATATAATAGACAACTGGTCAAACAAGACAATCAAGATTACTTGCTTAACAGTTACATTAAAATTACTATTTGTAAATATATTATATCTGAATGTTTTATAATTTATATCAGCCTGAATGTAAATTCATAAAAATTTGATAGCAACTTGCGTTTTCCAAAATATATTATTTTTTAAAGTCTAAATAACAAATACTCCTCGAAATAATTGTCTACTCGCTGCGGAAAAATTGCGCAAACCATTTATCATGTCTATTACACATTCGTTCTGATACAAGTTTGTATCAGTGCCAAAAATCGCCAACATGTTAGACAGCCAACATTAGAATCTATGTGTTAGAATTTAGTTCAAATTTTTGCATAATGAGTTCTTAGAAATCTAATCTGGATTATAGCAACAATAGGCCTGTTCTTTTTGGCTAAACTTTTGCACCAGTTCATCTTTCTTCTTCTTCTTTCCTCCTGGAGAGAAAAGATAAACTGGTGCAAAAGGACAAGCCTAATATTCAATCAAAAGGCCTAATTACAACCATCGACATATAGTACTGGACGGAGTATGCGGCAAAATGTTTTTGATCTTTCGTCTTGACGGACCTAGAAAGAGAAAGGTAAATGTTTGGGCACGGAACTCTTTTTCTACTATTGTCCTATTGGTCAAACTCTTTCTCTACTATTGTCCTATTGGTCGCTACTACCCAAATATCGTTCTATCTCTTTCTAGGTCTGTCAAGATGGTTTCGATACTATGTTCCGTTCAGTACTATAGGTCGATGATTACAACCATTTATGTATAAATTCTCTGAGTAGTCTTAAAAGAATTTTTGTTTACATTCCGAGGATTCTCGGCAAGAGGCGGCCACATTTTGCCTCGTTTATCCGTCGTCGTATAAATGTCAAAAAGAAGAAATACCGCATTATACGATCGGCAACAAAGCAACGAGGAAACGGGATTAAAGCATCGGCGACAATATCCAAAATGAAGCATTCTTTGTCGTCGCGACGTGACGATTATTTCATAAAAGGAATGTATTACTACCAGAATTTCTAATAGCTCTTCATCGCTTCGGTTTTCAAACAATTTTACAATTTTACGATTTGTCCGTCACTGTCAAATTTACAATTTTACGATATCATAAATATAGCGAATACCTGATAACGAATCAGCGTTTATCGCAAATTTATAATGTTGAACATTTTATACGTAAACAATTATAAATCTGGAGTAAAATTTTTATTGCGACATCTGAATTTATTTATTGTTAAATTTTAAGAAGATGTTTAACTTTGTTTACTTGGAATATCAAGTTTTCCAAAATTTACTTATTATTTTATTGCAGTTAAACATCTATTTATAATTAAGCTTGTTTCTAAATTCTTATTCAAAAGAAATGGGCATTAAATTTAATCAAAAAATTTATCATAAAAATTCAATTCTTCCTTTTTTTTGCAATTCTGATCCGACGATCTGAAAAACGATGAATTTTAAAATTATCAAATCACGAATCTACAATTTGACTCTTTCATCCCGTATACCTTTGATTTCGTAATTTCTGATTTCGAACATTAAACTGTAACAGGAATACGTATTTTTTGTGATGCTAAAAGAACATATCCCGAGTAGAAATTTGATCAGGTAGAAATCATGTCAGTCCTGCATGATTTGACGTTCGACCCTGATTCAGCTACCCAAACCGGTCCTGATAAGGACCTGATAAGGACGACAGGAATGTAAAGAGTTTTCATGATGTTTACTTGAATATTAAATTTTTGTTCGGCATATGGTGAAGTCCCACACAATTACTGAATCCGGTAAACCTTACACGGTGAGAATTTTTAAGAGAGTTTACCCTGAAAATATAATAGTCATGGGACAACAATGTATTTTCAAGAAATTTAATGTAAATCTCTCTCATTCATTAATAAAACTACAATAAAGTATAAAATAAGTTTGATTAATTTTACTGAAGTGCATGGTAAAAATCTTTAAAATATTATATTATATCACAACTCTCTTCTCTCTCTTCTCTCTTCTTCTTCTCTTATCATATTTTCGGGGTAAATTTTAAAACAAAATTCTCTCCGTGTACCAAGACCTGTATTTGGTCCTGATCCGGCGCAAACTAAATCCGGTATACCTAAACAAATTTCTACTCGAGATATTGTTTCTTTCAACTTATAGTTTTTTTGTTATTAATTTTAGTATTAAAATTTTCAACTACGAGCAAGAATTGCAATACTTAAACTTGACAATAAATGTAGTACACTAATTAGTCTACATAGATAGGAACTGTGAAAAATAAGATTGTGAAACATAAAATTATTCTAAATTATTACACTATTTAAAAATTAGGAAAATACTCCAGGGTCGTTAGGAGCCATATATTTCAGTTATGAATATCGTTTATTAAGACTGCTCTTTCAGAAATTTCGCCCGAATACATCAACATATCATTTTATGTTTGTTTAACATTTATTGAACAACATTTAGATATCAAAGAAACAATGGCAACTCAATCCTTTGGGATTTAAATAACATGTTATAAAATGTAAATCAATCTATTATTGTAGTTAATTTCAAAGTAAACAATGTCCATATTAACGTATGCATTTATTAAATAATAAATTAAATTTGAATTAAATTTAATACATTTTCTTGAATTAAATTGTTTAACTTCATTGTTTTAGTTAAATTAATGACATATTGAATAGGAACAATGGGTCGATCTATAGAAATGATTGAAAATAATTCAAATTGGATACAATTTGATATATAAATTTAACAATGAACAAGAATAAAATAATGTCTGGATGCATTAGAATAAAGTTTCTGAATGCGGCTTAAATAACGGCTGCGTTCAGCAGAAAAAGCAACTTTGCAACTGTTGTAAAATTCTTTCATATGATTGATCTTGCCCTTAGTTTCTCGCTGGATCTAAATATATGAATCAATTATATTAAAGAATTTTACAACACTTGCAAAGTTGTTTTTTCTGCTTAACGTAGCCAATATTAAAAGCTGAAGATTTCCGAAACGACGCTCCGGTGTTTTCAACGTGCATGTGTCGTTGAACGCATAAAATCATCTCGCGTTAATACTGTATGTACTGTCTAAAAGTGAATCAGTATATTATCACTGACTTCAGTGCTACACTTATAACTGTAATATCAGCGAATATTTACTGTTTTTCAGTAACAATACACTGATTCATTCTGAGAAGTTATGGTTTCTACAGATTGAATCTGCAGAAAATCATAACCTCTAAAATGAATCAGTGTATTATTACTGAAAAACAGTAAATATTCGCTGATGACTTCAGTGCTACACTTATAACTGATGTAATCAGTAATAATACAATAATTCACTTTTAGAGAATACGATTTCTGTATTTGAACAGAATAAGGCATGCAAACAGGTGCGTTTAAACGTTACAAGGCGTCACAAACATCAGGCCTAAACATTCCAAAGTCTCCTTTGGATTTTGGTGAAAGATCTCGGAAATCCGAGCGTGCAAAACGCGGGATGTACGGAAGAAAGAAGATAAATCGTATTCGCTTACTTTACTCTGGACATAGTCGAGGGCGAGCATGCAGTCGGAGTATCCGCTCTCAGTTTTTATAGTGGTAGCACCTTGGCCGGGACCAGTGGAACAGAATCCGGAACCCACGACGCCAACCGGCCCGCCGAGGCCAGCTGCCGCCGCAGCCGCGACGCTATCCCGGTACCAAGGATACATTGAAGAGCCTGCAGATTATCTCACCGCGTATTTCTTCCCCTTAGCTTCCCTCTTCCAAGCTGCGCTCGCCGAACCGAAGTTCAAAGCGGATAATTCACTCTCGGTCACACGTCACGTTTCTCTTTCTCTCTCGGTTTTTCCCTTCTTCCTTCCTTCCTTCCGTTTACTTTTCCGCGATACGAGCACGACACGCGCTGCGCGACATACACCTCACCGCCGATGATATCACTGCACCGCGGAGCGCGCGGTATCGCCGCGGTTACACGCCGCGCTCGCGCACTACGACAACGCTCCGCGTCCGTCCCGCGCGAGAACGATCACTGAGTATTCGCGTAACGTATACAAACGTCTCGGGATCGCGCACACCCGACAGGTTAGCTCACACCGCGAGCAGAAGTGGCGTGCCGCGCGTACCTCTTCGGAGCGGAGAGCGTTCTCGCGGCACGATCATCGACGTCACCGCTCGCGTTACTCGCTGTCCGCCCGAGCGTGGACGCTCGTGATGACACCACGACCGTCGCCGTCGCTAGCCGAGTAACGTCTTCACGAGAGCGCGATATTAAAACGTAAACACCCCGCGCCGTGCCGGTGCGACCTTGCGTCAAGATTGAAACTCTTCGAACTCGACACTGCGTTCGTCCTTCTCTCTCTCTCTCTCTCTCTCTCTCTCTTTCTCCCCCCTCCCCCGGTCGACTAACTGTTTACCTTTTTTTCGACGATTCCGCGTAGAGCGCCTTCCCGAGGTCACCGCGTACGCGAAAGCGCCCGAGGGAAGAGTTTAAAACACCGTCCGATGCGTCGCTTCGACCTTACGGCAACCTACGCGTGGAGCAAACTTCGCGTCGTACTCAGCTTGTCCGCTCCACGGGACACACGAGGGCCACGGGCCCGCGCGCACGCGGGCGCGCGTCGCGCACCCGCTCGCGACGCCTGTTTGTCGCGAGCTGTTGAAATCGAACGCCCGGAGTGTGTCTTCGACGGGTGCCCTCTCCTCCTTCCTCCGCGCGCTGCGCTGCCTTATTCCGTCCGTTTGTGCGTTAATCGCGATACGCGGCCAACTTCACTCTCTTTCCGGCGAGAAACTCACGCGCTGTCGACCGACGACGACGACGCGACGTAACGCCATTCGTGTGTCATTCTCCGCTCGCTTATTTTCTTCCTCTTCCCTTCTTGTTATCCGACGTTGCAACGATCGATTTATCACACAGTGATCGTCGTGTCGATCGCCACCTTCGGAAGGCAACGCGTCACCGGCGCGTCGCCGCCAAGGCTCATAATACCGCGCGAATAACTCACTCAAGCGGAACGCCGCCTAATGTCGGTTAGCTCGGCCGCGATCCGAAATCCGCGATGCGATTCGAGCACTCGCGAATCGCACCATGATCACGGTTGACAAGCGACGCCGAAAAGAAAGCCTCGATCGGTCCCGAACGTGGAACGAACGCCGTGAAAAATGGCCTCCTTTATCACTTGTGTTCTTCCTTCGCTCTATTTCTCCCCTCCTCCCCGTCACTCTCTCTATCTCTCTCTCTTTCTTTCTACCACGCCGTTGACGAAGAACACTGTCGTCGCGAGCGTAGAATCGTCGCGCCTTCGCGACTTCTCCGATGATCCTGCCGAGAGCGCGCCAACCCCCGGTTTTTTTTTGCGTGCGGCTGTCCGGCCCGGGACGCGCAAAAAAATGCAACCGCGGCAAAGCCCGGATATCGTGAACCGTGAACCGCGGACGCGGTTTCAGCACTGACGCGGGAGCCGCGATTCGAACGACCGTTCGGCCGTGCTCGGTCGTCTCCGCCGGCCCTCGTATCTGCCCCCTCACGATCCACCGTCGCTCGCTCTCGTGCCGCGCACTGACTAGCGGGGGGAAGACGCGGCCCGCCGCAGAAGGGTGAAAGGGCGGGGGCGGGGTACGCGGGAAACACGATCTCTTTTCCTCTCTCTTTCTCTTAACAATCTCTCTCTCCGTCTTTCTCCCTCGTTCACGCTGCGCCCGGGTACCGTCAAAGTGGGAGCAACAGCTTTTCTTGGTTGAAACGATACGCTCTAACGATATCGGTTCGTACTCCGCCATTCGGATAGAATTCTTCCGCTCTGCGATTTTCAAGAAAAGACTATGTCTAGATCGAAGGAATTTATCGGTGGTAACATGATGCGAGAACACGAATATATTATACCCAGGGTTGTTAAAGTTACCGTTTTTAAGTAACGTGTTACAGTTACCGTTCCTTGCGGTAAAAAATAATACGTTACTCGTTACTCATTACCGATTGTAAAAGAAACGCGTTATCGTTACTTAAAAGTAACGAAAAAAACCGTTACTTTTTAAAAAATGATTATATTTATATAAATATAGCTACGTAAGAATAAATCGTTTTTTAATTTATAGTTTTGTTTTATTTTATTAGCTTTATTTTATTTTTTATTTTATGAGTTTTTTTATTTGGTTTTTTGATACTTTTGATATATATCAATTTACATTAGAAATAGCAGAATATTTTTTAACTTTAAATTATGATGGATTTATTTCCCTGAATTTTGAACTTTTCTTTAATAACAATTGTTGTTCAAAATGTCCGTCTGTTAGGCGGTGTCGAAGATTCGACAAAACGAGTCCACCAATATTAAAAAGTCTTTCTTTTACATTATATTCATCCTGGATGCATCTTCGACGCACCATGTGAATATAGCACACAAAACTTGCGTGATGGAAAAGTACGGAATAGCGCTGATTGGTTACTTCAATGACGCAAGTAATTACGTTCTCATTCGTTATTAAAAAAAGAAATCAGTAACTTCGTTACTTTTTTATGTAACGTTAACAACTCTGATTATATCCATTATCATACCTTGACTATTAAATTGAATTTTAAGCTCTTTTTTATCTCCTTATTTGTTATTAACATTTGAAGTACTAACATTTCTTACTCATTAAAAAAATCAAATGTATAAATTATTATGAAAATAAAAAAATATTGAAAAATAAAATATTTTCTTAGTATAAAAGATATAATTATTGAAAAAAAAGTTAAAAAATTTCAGAATCCTATCTTTTATACACAAATATATTAAATTATAAAAATATAGTGTTAAAAACCTAATATTATGTATAATCTAAACAGATAGAAATAATGAGCATTCGAGTCTAGCATATATTGAATAGATGGACGACTATAGTGATTAATTTCACAAATAAATGTAAATGCAATTCGAATATCGTATCTTGTATATATTATTTGAACTCGTGATTGATGATTCATAAAACATTTTGTGATGTATACGAGAATTATTTTAAAAATATATATTTCAAGTAATCCATTAAATGTCGTAACGTGCAAAGCGACAAATCGCAGCATCGTAATAATACGGATGGTTTTTCTTCGAACACATGTAGGTTTAATCACCAATTTCCGTGAGAAGAGAAAACAAGGACGCGTCAAAACGACCGTCCCTCTACCGACGAACCCTCGAATTCGCAAATACGCAAAAACCTAGCTGAATCACCGCGCGTCGACCTTGACGTGTAAAAATCTCGGACCGTGGACACGAAAGGACGAGATTCTGACCTCCTGCGACCTAATTCCACGAGCACAGTCCTCGGCGTGGAGGAGCTTGGGAAAGGTCGCGTACGCTGTGAAACATCATGCAAAAACCCGCCCCTGAAATGGTTCACGAATTCCTGGGGAATTTCTTCGGCAGACGCGGAAGAGGGGAAAAAACAGTCCTAGGATAAAAAGTCACCCACCGAGAAGCGGTCGGTGAACCTACGCAGATATATTTTAACAAGCTGATGATGTCCTCTTGCTTGTGTCTTCACTTGAAGCGGAGTGAATTCAAAGATTTTACGTGCAAGTCTACGAGTATCCATTTAGGACAAATGTTGAAATATTTCAATATTGAATCTGTAATTAAATATGTTATAAGGTCTGTTCGACTTGCTTATACTTTTTACACTCAGTATCTTCGCTTTCTGTCTTTTCAGCACCAAATATATATCTATCTCATTTTAAATGTAAAAAGTGTGAAAAAGTGTAAGCAAGTCGAACAGAATATGATAAGAAGATTACAAATCGCGATCGAATTGACTTAGGATGGGTATAACGTTTCGCAACTTTAAAGCGTCTACAATAGAGATAAGATTTTCAGGTATAAAAAACTTATGCTTTAAGCCTTAAAACTTAAATAAGAGGTTGACCAATCATAGTCGATTATTCTCCTCAAATTCGACTGTGATTGAATAATTTCTTACGGTTGAGGAGATCCTAAATATTACGGACTAAACTATATAATTTTTGTATAACAATTTCATCTTTTACTGGTTCGAAAATCCTTTTTCAGGATTAAAATATACGCATTTATACGTGTCTATGAGGTGAAGGTTATGCAGAGAATGTAAAAAAAATTTCAAAATTGAGATATTCTTTATCATTTCTTAGTCCAATATGACGCTCTAGAGTTGTTACATTGCGACAACATTTGCTTGTATAAAAGCTGTGCAATTTGTACTTACAAAATAATAGACCACAGGCTAATAGTTTGCACGAAAAAACAACGTGGAGTTCTTAAGCGACGTCTATAATGAGATTTTAAAGCATAAAGCTTTAAGCTTTAAGCTGTAAGAAATTTATCAATTATGGTTTAATAATTTATCGATTGTTCTTCTCACATTCGACTGTGATTGGTCAATTTCTGACAACTTAAAAGGTTTAAATACAAATGAATAGGAAGATAGGTCAAAGCTTAAGGTTTAAAGCTTAACTTTTACGCCTTAAAATCTTATTGGCTACGTTTACACCGAGATACCTATACGCGGCCTGACTCATGGTAGAATTAGAAAGGTGAAACAACGCGCATAATGGCGGAGGACTCGTCACATGATCTGAGATCTCGACCAATCAGAAATTGAGCTTATTGCAGCGTGAACAAGTCATGTGCATCTCTGCAAATCAGCTCAAAACTTGATTGGCTGACAGATCCACTACTTTCAACCTACTGCGCATCCATCACCTTGGTTCACCTTTCTAATTCCATCATGGCCTGACCTATAATGCGACCCAAAATAGGTCTAGGCACCAACCATTTATCGTAAGCGGCCTGAACACGAACTCTTTGAACTTTTCGAACACGACCCTTCAAACATTTTTTAAACTTTTTTATTTACGAGATGATATATGTCCATAACCAACGACATGACATATGTCAATTTGAGATTAACAAATGATGGTAGAGCGACTTATTTCAGGTTATAGGCGACCTATTTCAGGTCAGGTCACCAAAAACCGAAGCCCGACTTACAGCCAGGTCAGGTCATTTCTCAAACATTTGCAGCGAC